CAAAATAGCACCAAAAACATAGAATACCAAGGGCTTTTATTGACTCCATAAGTGAAGTTTGATTCCTTAAAGGAGAGCACACCATTCCAGTCAAAGCCTTGGTAAAATAACCAGTTCCTCCAATTGTGTCCTGTTACAAATGAAAACAGATTCTTATTGCATTTATGCAAATAACTGTATTGCCATAAGTTAAGAATACTCGCAAATAGTTTCCAGATTTTGGGGAAATCAGGTAGAGAGAAACAAATATGCTCCTAATTTTGTATATATGATTGTTCAAAGAAAAGTTTCAATACTAAAAGAAACAAAACAAAGGATTAGCAACACTTAAAGCAAAAGTTGAAAATATTAGTCTTCTTTCAGTTCAGTTTATGCAGTTAACTCCTGTTCTGCTTAATATTCCTGAACACTTCAGCTCTTCATGTAAGTCCTGAAAGTTTTTTCCCTCTATTCTAATGTCACAACCTCCAAAGTTATCAGAAACCTACATTTAAGAAGACCTATTAGAGCCCAGGAGCAGTGCCTCATGCCTGTAATCCCAGCACTATGGGAGGCTGAGGCAAGTGGATTGCTTGGGGTCAGGAGTTGGAGACCAGCCTGACCAACATAGTGAAACCCTGTCTCTACTGGAAATACAAAAATTAGCCAGGTCTGATGGTGGGCACTTGTAATCCCAGCTACTCGGGAGGCTGAGGCAGGAGAATCACTTGAACACAGGAGGCAGAGGTTGCAGTGACCCAAGATTGCACCACTGCACTCTAGCCTGGGCAACAGAATGAGACTCTGTCTCAAAGAACAAAACAAAGAACACCTGTTAGAGTTCTATAACTGATTATAGAACCTCTTTCTTTTCCTTCCTTCCTTCCTTCCTTCCTTCCTTCCTTCCTTCCTTCCAGACAGAGTCTTGCTCTGTGACCCAGGCTGGAGCACAGTGGGGAGATCTCAGCTCACTGTAAGCTCTGCCTCCTGGGTTCATGCCATTCTCCTGCCTCAGCCTCCCAAGTAGCTGGGACTACAGGCGCCTGCCACCACACCCGGCTAATTTTTTTGTATTTTTAGTAGAGACAGGGCTTCACCGTATTAGCCAGGATGGTCTCAATTTCCTGACCTTGTGATCCACCCGCCTCAGCCTCCCAAAGTGCTGGGATTACAGGCGTAAGCCACCACACCCAGCCTATAGAACTACTTTCTAAAGAGGACCTAAACAAGACAACAATTGTCCATGCATGACAAAAAGTTTTAGGGCAGCCATAATCAAAGACACAATTGACAAGGAAATTTGTTATCTCTGTGGCACATAATACTTTAACATAATAATTATAATTATTACTGACAATGTCCTCTAAGATATATCAGAATTATAGGAGTTTCTCATAATTTTGGAACACATATCAATAACATATTTATACAAATACAGCCCAAAGAAAACCAAACACCATTTCATGTTTGACAATGCTTTCTGTATAATTTTTGCACCAAAATAAGCCAAATTATGTCATTTTTGGACTTTAGGGAACCTAATATCTTAAATGATTAATTAGGTCAGAAAAAGACATAATTTGTAATTTGAAATGTTTAAAAATCTCTACTAAAAAGATACAAAAAATTAGCCAGACATGGTAGCATGCACCTGTAGTCCCAGCTACTGTGGAGGCTGAGGCAGGAGAATCGCCTGAACATGGGAGACGGAGGTTGCAGTGAGCCAAGATTGCACCACTGCACTCCAGCCTGGGTGACAGAGTGAGACTCTGTCTCAAAAAAAAAAAAAAAGATTTAAACATCAGTTTTTATTCCTAAGCAAACCAAAACTTAATGACAATATGACAGCCTGACTTTATAAATGTTCTTGTGTATTTTTTTAAATAAATTATTTTATTGTGACTTACACTGACCATTCATGACATTCTTGGACTTTCTGGTTTGTCTTGAACATTCCTCTTTCTTAAACAACCAGTCATTTTATTTTAGGACTAAATTTACCACACAAGATTCTTTCTCATATAAAATTATTTCTTTTTAAGCTTTCTTCCCACAAAAATATCCCTTCACTTATTTATTTATTTATTTATTTAAGAAGGATTCTCACTCTGTTGTCCAGGCTGGAGTGCAGTGGCACAGTCTCGGCTCACTGCAACCTCTGCCTCTGGGGTTCAAGCAATTCTTCCACCTCAGCCTCCCGAGTAGCTGGGATTACAGCCATGCATGATCACACCTGGCTAATTTTTTTGTATTTTTAGTAGAGATGGGGTTTTGCTATGTTGGCCAGGCTGGTCTCGAACCCCTGACCTCAAGTGATCCATTTGCCTTGGCCTCTCAAAATTCTGGGATTACAGGCATCAGCCATTGTGCCCAGTGAACCTCTTTAGTTTTATAACTTTCTTTACATCTCTCTTATTTCCTGGTTCCTTTTACCTTGGTTTATACACAACCTTTTTTTTTTTTTGAGATGGAGTTTCACTCCTGTTACCCAGGCTGGAGTGCAATGGTGCAATCTCAGCTCACTGCAACCTCCACCTCCCAGGTTCAGGTGATTCTCCTGCCTCAGCCTCCTGAGTAGCTGGGATGACAGGCATGCACTACCACACCCAGCTAATTTTTTGTATTTTTAGTAGAGACGAGGTTTCTCCATGTTGGTCAGGCTTGTCTCAAACTCCCAACCTCAGGTGATCTGCCCACTTCAGCCTCCCAAAGTGCTAGGATTACAGGCGTGAGCCACTGCACCCAGCCTATACATAATCTATGAACAAGCTTTGTATTATATAAAACTTGTTCACCTTTTTTAAAAAAAACACATACTGTTTTTTTAGCAAGAATGTTTTCCTACAATATATATTTGTTGGAAAATACCCAAATAATGAAATTTTAGGTTCTAAAGTATAACAAGTTTGTCTACAAGTATTTATAACATTACATTTACCCTGTTAGAGACAAACAACTATAATTTACTTAGTTTAGCTAGATTACTTATGAAAACTTCAATAGGATTTAAAGCCATGAAACTGCCATTTCAAAATTATAACTGAGATGGTGAAAAAAACATATAACCTGACTGACTCCATCTTGCTTCTAACCTCCAAGCTGTCCTTGTTCATTCCTGGACTTTGGGAGGAATTTAGTTTATAGTTTAGCTTTGAAGCAAATATGTTAACAGTCCTTTTCCTTTCCCAAAACACACCTCCTTACTGCCTGTGGACTAGACTGCCTAAAGCCACAAGATTATAAGTTATGGTAATTTTACTAAATAATTCAAGATGTAGCTATTTTCATTAAACCAATATCAATGTCTTATTTATTAAAGATTACACAAGCAAAGATCACTTTGTCTTGGGCTGGGTTTATAGCTTTGTAACCCTTGTGCCAAATTTTGACACCTTATAGTATTTGGCAGGGATAGTATGAAATTGCTTGATTAATAAATGCAAACAAAAATGTATGCTGGCAATTCTTAAGACATTTCTAAGATTACTTTGCCAATAATTTTAAAGTTAGCTTATTTATTAAATATTTTAATTAAGTTACATAAACTTGAAAAAGCACTTGACCAGTCTTTTCCTTTTTTACTATCTGATTTCAGCACTTTTATTTCATTTTTAAGCCAATTAATGAACACTCTTTTATATATTTTGTAGTAGTGAAATATTGCATACACAATGCATAAATACATAGACATATTAGGCATGCCAACAGAAGTACATTTTATAGATTCATAAAAACCTCTTTTTTTCCTATTTTAGACTGTCAGATTCTTGATAACCTGTTTCACAACCCTAGGCAGTTGTCAACTAAATAGCCTTGAAATTGCCTGTTAAAGGAAGCAACTCAGGTGAAAGTCAAATAGCAAAATTTACATTATAAGGTATGGATAGAAAAAGTTTGGTGTGCTAGAGGGAAATTAAAACACATTTAATTGCCAATTAAACATAAAATTACAGAAATTATAAAGGCCTTTTAAATACACACACACACACAACGATCCTATAGCTTTTACTTCAGAACTTCTAGCCGTGAGATAAATACAAATTCACTGGCTTGCAAAAAGAACTTGTTGGATCTAAATAGTGGTTTTTGTCATAATAGAAAAAATAACAGCAGATTTAGAGCAGCCAGAAAAGAAAAAAAATAGAGAAAAAGAGGACTTAGAAACTCTATAGTTTGCAGGTCGACCTTAGGGCTCTTTTTCCTTGATGTAAATGTGCATGAAGACCATATTATTCTCATTTTACATAAACTTTGGCAAGTAGAGGTGCCATAAAACCTATGGAGTGCTCAAAAGGGGGTCATTCTCCTGTTTTCTCCTCATTCTTAGATTATTTGTTTCCTGCTTTTTTTTTTTTTTTTTTTTTTTCTTAAAAAGAGGAACTGAGCTGTGGTCTAGGGTTTTTGTGTGGTGGATTTATGTGTGCTGCTTGTGCACCGGACTCCACAGTGTGCCACTACTGCATCGTTTCCTCCTTCTTACATGTTTCAGTTTGTCTCTCTAGAGGTCTGTGACCTCAGAGAAGGCTCAAAACGGTAGGTGATCAGCCCTTATATGCGTTTCCTGGATGATCCATTTTTTAAATTAATTTTTGTTGGAGATTTCCCTGCAGGGCTGCTGCATGTCATGGCGGGGTTAACCTCCTAGACACTCCCACGAGGCCCCCCGTCACCCAGGGGCACCTTTCAGTTGGGAGGAGTAAATGCCCTTTCCCTTTGGAGCTGAGAAAATTCAGTCTCTCATTAATGTATGAAAAAAACAGTCCAGTTCCTTACGCAAATGCATACAGACAAACCGAATTAAGATTAAATTTGAGAGAAAGAGCAGTAGAGAAGATCCTTTAGAATGCATCTCCAAACTAGAATCAGGATTCTTAAACAACAACTTCAGACCAGAACAAACAACACCATAAAAAACCAACAACAATATGATCACTGAACACTCTAATGGTAAGGAGAAATTAAGACCAGCTGGTTGTTAATCTTAACTTTAGCCAAGACAAAACTCCAGTTCAGTTACTTACCTAGGGATGGGTCTCAGGCTGAAGACTGCTCTCCACAATCCTAGAAGCAGGGAAAAAATACAAATAAGCACGTCTTCCCTGTGGAAGCAAGCTCAAACTTCATACAGGAGTTCCCTGCCTTCCGTCGTTACGGAAGCAGGAAAACCTTGACCTCCTTGTGTTGGAAGCAAGTAAAACTCCAAAAAAAGAGGAGTTGTACAGCAAAATAAACTTTAGATCTCAACTAAATTTTGGAAGAGCAGAGATTTTCTGGAGGTGGTGCTCTCAGACCTCAGCAAATTTTCCTATTGGTATGAGTCATAAAGTTAGCTCATGCTGGTACCAAGCATCGATAGATTTGCCAAAGGTCAGGGTCATTTCCATTCGGAATCCCTCCGTGGTTACCAAATGTGAGCCCCCAGAATTTGAGACAGGTCTCAGTTAATTTAGAAAATTTATTTTGCCAAGGTTGACAACACATGCCCGTGACACAGCCTCAGGAAGTCCTGACAACATGTACGCAAGGTAGTCGGGGCACAGCTTGGTTTTATATATTTTAGGGAGACATGAGACGTCAATCAATATATGTAAGAAATATATTGGTTCTGTCCAGAAAGACAGGGACAACTTGAAACAGGGAGGGGGCTGCCAGGTCACAGGTAGGCGAGAGACAAATGGTTGTATTCTCAAGAGTTTCCGAGAAGCCTTTCTAAAGGAGGCAATCAGAATATGCATCTATCTCAGTGAGCAGAGGATGACTTTGAATAGCACGGGAGGCAGGTTTGCCCTGAGCAGTTCCCAGCTTGAATTTCTCCTCTAGCTTAGTGATTTTGGGGGCCCAAGATGTTTTCCTTTCACACTAGTATGCTAGATTGTTACTAAAAAGTAAATCTTTAATCTTTAAATAGTCTGAGAAATAAAGATCTACAGTATATAGATTACACTTTTGAAAAACTTCAGAACATTATCAATAATTTAGTAAAGGGTTCTTTTTATCACAACACCAATTCAACTATCTGGTCAAATCACTCGTCAGTGTCCTAGATGGTCTTTAAGAAAAGGAATATACATGGAATGTCCAATCTTCTTAAGTCAAATCTATACAAAGAGATTAAATCACATCAAAATATTTTTGAAATAGAGATAGGGTTTCCCTCTGTTGCCCAGGCTGGAGTGCAGTGGTGGGATCACAGCTCCCTGTAGCTTTGACCTACCTGGCTCAAGCCATCCTCCCACCTCAGCCTGACTACAGGGTCACATCACCACACTGGACTCACTTCGTTTTTTGTAGACACAGGGCCTTGCTATGTTGCTCAGACTTGTCTCAAGCAATCTGCCTGCTTTGGTCTCCCAAAATGTTGGAACAGGTGTGAGCCACCACACCTAGACTAGAAATGTGTTACTTGCAGAAAGGTTCTAAAATGGCTAATCAAAGATATTGCCATACATTAATTAGTCCAAAAGATGAAAACCAATGGATTGATGTGAGTAAGGATCACCAACCAAACAAGGAAACAACACAGATGGTGAAGTTCAGGTACCTTTTTCTTTGCCCATCCTTGTTAGATCAGCTGCAAGACACTGATGACAAGCTCTGTCATTTTACTAACTTTAGGACAGTCAGCTACAAACTACAACAATTACATATTCCCCAAATATCCTCTATTTTACCTTCACTGTTTGAGTACATGATAGTGAAATGTCAGTCCTCTTAATCATCCATTTTGCTAATGTAATGTACAAGATACATTCTACAATAATACTTTACAGCTGCTAATATAAATAGCAGTATTCAGTTTATTCCAACTCTGAAATTAGTTCACCAAGGGAAAAAAAAAGAATCAGGTACAATGGGAAGGATGACTGAAAATCCAGAAATAAATATCATACTTCCAGACATTATCTTACCACTAATCATGATTTTATATTTTATACTATTACTTGAATAAATTTTACTTTTAGAATTTTGGAATTTAAAGAATTTTATTATTCTGATACCATCAGTTGTTTGCTAACTACTTTTTCTTAAAGGTCAGTGAATTATAAAAGGCATATTTCGCAGAAAATATAAGATATCATATGTTGCATTTTAAAAATTTAATTTTAGAGTTAGAATTATACTATTTACTTTCTATGCTAGGTAATGTCACAATATACTTCAAAAGAGTTACATGTAATATATAAATAGTCACGAAATATAGATTATATGTATAACTAATACCCATGGGTATGGAAAAAATACCATTCACTCCCAGTATCATATGCAATAAAAGACATGTTTACTAACCCATTTACAAGGGCACATTTGCAATCTTTCTTCTACTGGCTCAGCCTCTTTTTAATGAATGTCCACAATCACTAAGTGATACTGTGGCAAACTGTACTCTTCCAAGACTCCCCAGAGACAATCAGCATCACATTTTAATTCCAAAGACCGTTAAAAAATGTACATTGTAGGAAAAAATAACTTTCAACAAGAGCCACTTTTTCTGACCTTGTCAACCTGTGAATCAGCTGTTCTTGGAGGCACAGCTATTTAGACACGACACCCTTCCTTCAGACGATGTGATCTTAAGGAATTTAGTAATTATGTGATTTATTAACATAAGACAGTATTTACTGACATGACCAGACAAACTGAAAAGGCCTTCTCACCTACTCCTGGAGTCCTCCCAGATTCCAGACACCCAGTGTAAGAAAACAGGTGTTGAAAGCTCTGCTGTCACTTCTGTAAAAGCGAACTAAGTATGGCCTGAGAAAGACTCTGTACTTCTATATTTGGGTTCTTGTGGACAAACTGTAAGGTAGCTTAATAGGAAGACAAGATTGAAAACCTAATTTAGGAGTCTGTGCCTGTAACAAAAGCTGAGTCTTGACCATACTTTAGCCACTCATACACTGATAAGTGTTCAAACTGTGTTCAAATACGGCAAATGCCAACCTGTAACCAATCCAGCTGTTTCTCTACCTCACTGCCAATTTCTTTCTTTCTTTTTTATTTTTTTGAGATGGAGTTTTGCTCTTGTTGCCCAGCCTGTAGTGCAATGGCGTGATCTCAGCTCACTGCAACCTCTGCCTCTTGGGTTCAAGCGATTCTCCTGCCTCAGTCTCCTGAGTAGCTGGGACTACAGGAGCCTGCCACCACACCCGGCTAATTTCTGTATTTTTAGTAGAGACAGGGTTTTACCACGTTGGCCAAGATGGTCTCGATCTCCTGACCTTGTGATCCACCCACCTTGGCCAATTATATTTTTAGAAGGCCTGTACACTTGGAAAAGACTGTTTTAATAATTAGAATAACTTGTCTCATTATTGATTTAGAAATGCTATATTTAAAAGTAGGCTGGCCGGGCACGGTGCACTTTGGGAAGCCAAGGGGGTGTGGATCACCTGAGGTCAGGAGAAGGAGACCAGCCTGACCAACATGGTGAAACCCCGTCTCAACTAAAAATACAAAAATTAGCCAGGCATGGTGGCAGGTGCCTGTAATCCCAGCTACTTGGGATACTAAAGCAAGAGAATCACTTGAACCTGGGAGGCAGAGGTTTCAGTGAGCTGAGGTCATGCCATTGCGCTTCAGCCTGGGCAACAAGAATGAAACTCTGCCTCAAAACATAAAAGGATGAAAGTAGGCCAACAACAGGAATTTTGCAGTTGCACAACAGAGAATGTAAATGAATTAACATTCAGTGTCCATGGCATGTTACATACTGTGACTTACCCCATCTACTCTGAACCATTTACTCCATCCATGTGGTGGCTCAAATAGAGTTTCCGTGTTAATCCCACAATGAACCTCGGTAATTCTCACATCACAGTGGTTGTAAACATTTGTTAATGGACAAAGAAAGTTTTTCCTAAAACAGCTACATAACACTAAGACTACTCAAATTTCTAAATAATCCCTTACAAGACAGCCTGGCAGCTTCCTTTTCATACATTAACATGTGGAGCCTATTTTAAAAGCTCTTTAACAGTGACTGTCGAAACAGCTTCCTAGTTATTCATATAATGTTTCTTCTTTTTTTTAAGTTTTCAAATTGGTTTTAGAAAAACTTAAACACTGATGAATTTGGGCCGCTATCAAATCCTTAAGAAGCATTTTTGCCAAGTAAGATGGGCAAATGTCCTACATCTGCTAAATATGATACGAGAGGCCATGCACTTTTGAAAAAAATGAATAAATGATTTCCAACAGTCGCTGAGCCCTTTTTTTTTTTTTCTGTTTCTGTTTCTTTTCTTTTTTTCTTTTTTTCGAGACAGTCTCCCAGGCTGGAGTGCAGTGGTGCAGTCTCGGCTCACTGCAACCTCCGCCTCCTGGGTTCAAACGATTCTCCTGCCTCAGCCTCCCGAGTAGCTGGGACCATGCTCAACTAATTTTTGTATTTTTAGTAGAGAAGGGGTTTCACCATGTTGGCCAGGCTGGTCTCGAACTCCTGACCTCAAGTGTTCCACCCACCTCGGCCTCCCAAAGTGCTGGAATTACAGGCGTGAGCCACCGCACCTGGCCTAGCCTTTTAGTTTAAAAATTATTTCAGTGTTATTTTCACACTCTACGTTTGAGAATACAATTTTTTTTGAGGCCGTTAGGTTTAAAGCATATTTTTTAAGAGCCGACCTGGCACATAAAGCCGACCAGTCTGTACTGCTGATGGACCCCCAGTAGATTTGGGGCGCTGACGCTTACTTCACTGTGAGGAACCACATCCGAAAGGGATGGTGCTGGAAGGCAGGCGGGAAACCGGTGTGGGAGCAGAAGAGGAAGCCGTCGACGAGGAAGGAGAGGGTGTGGGACGCAGACAGAGAGAGAAAGGCCAGCAGAGGAGCGAAGAGCGGAGCGCAGCGCGGGCGGAACCGGCGGGAAGCGCGTGGGAAAGGCCGTGTTTTCAAATGAGGCGGGCGCCGGGAGAGGCGAGCCTGGCCGGGGGCGCCCCGCGCTCTGGTGGGAAGAGCTGCCTGCAGACTGAAGCCGAGAGGAGGCGGCAGCGGACGTCCAGGCGTCCCTGCAAACCCCCGTTCCCTCCCCGCGCCCCTCGAGGCCCCCGGCCCGGCGGCAGCAGGAAGGCGCAGGATTCGGAGCTCACAGGCCCGGGCCCGCGGCCGCCTTCCCCGCCGTGGCTCGGGGGCGTCGGCTGAGGCGGGGCGGAGGCGGGGACCGGGGTACCTCGCTTGCGCAGCCTGGAGCCCGCGCTGGGCCCAGCACGACCCTGCCTTGGCTGCTGCCCCCCCGAGTCTCCAGCGCCGCCGGACCCTCACGCCGCCGCCTTCTCTCCAGCCCAGCGCCGCCGCGGCCGCTACCTCCTGCCGAGCATTTTCCAGCCCCCAAGCCCTGAGAATCAGTTCTGGGATGTAACAGAGCAAGCGGACATTATTCTGGGACCAGCAAGCCTGCGTCACTGCAGCCACCACACTACATGGGTGAGTAAACGCCTCTGGGATCAGCGTGGACCATGCGGTAATCCAAAGAGGTTGAAATATTCATTCACCATAAAATCTTACAGATTTATTCCCTTGAAACGTGATTTTCTGCAGTCGTACAGCCTGAGACAGCCGAGTGCTCTAGCAAAAGGGCCAAAGGATAGAGGCAGGGCCTCTAGGGAAGAAAGAGTGAAAACGTGAAAGAGACCACATGGCGGCCCACACTGCCCCAGGCCAGGCCTGGCTGACACCTGGACGGCTGGATCCATCCGGTGCACGTTCTGGCCTATTGTGGTCAGGGAAGGAGCGGAGCCCCCCCACCCCAGGCCTCCTGCAGAGGAGTGGGCTCAGCAGGGGGCAGGGACGGCCTTAGGGGTTGGGGACTGACCAAGCCTGGGGGCTAGGAACGGTAAGTGGGGCCCATTATAGAAGCCGGTGACCACTTCCTTATTTACTCCAGAGATGATATGATACTCCACAGTGTGGAGGTGCCATATTTAGCCATGTCCCTGCTGTCAGCATCAATAATATGTTTTTTGCTATTATTATGACTTTTGAACCCAAATGCCCATCAATGATAGACTGGATAAAGAAAATGTGGTACATATACACCATGGAATATTATGCAGCCATAAAAAGGAATGAGATCAGGTCAGGCATGGTGGCTCACGCCTGTAATCCCATCACTTTGGGAGGCCAAGGTGGGAGGATCACTTGAGGCCAGGAGTTTAAGACCTGCCTGGCCAACATGGCAAAACCCCGTCTCTACTAAAAACATTATACAAAAAGCCTGGCATGGTGGCGCGCACCTGTAATCCCAGCTACTTGGGAGCCTGAGGCACAAGATTCGCTTGAACCTGGGAGCCAGAGGCTGCAGTGAGCTGAGATTGCTCTGGTGCACTCCAGCCTGAGCGACAGAGCAAGACCCTGTCTCAAAAAAAAAAAAAAAAAAAAAAAAAAGAATGAGATCATGGCCTTTACAGGGACATGGAAAGAGCTGGAAGCCATTATCCTCAGCAAACCAACACAGAAACAGAAAACCAAATACCGCATGCTCTAACTTGTAAGTGCAAGCTGAACAATGAGAACATATGGACACAGGGAGGGGAACAAGACACACTGCGGCCTGTTGGGGGTTGAGGTGTGGGGAGAGAGAGCATCAGGAAAAATAACTAATGCATGCTGGGCTTAATACCTAGGTGATGGGTTGACAGGTGCAGCAAACCACCATGGCACACGTTTACCTGTGTAACCTGCGCATCCTGCACATGTACCCCAGAACTTAAAATAAAAATTAACATTAAAAAAGAATTTTATTTTCACCAGGTATTCAATATTACACTTTTGCCATATTTTACTAATAACTTTAAATTTTTGACATTCCTTAAAAATGTGTTCCATTAAATCCTCACTTTGTCCTATAACTTTGCTTACTACACTCATCCTTTCCTAGGTTTTCACTAAAGTTTTTTTTGTGGTTAAGAAAACCTGTTAACATAACAAAAAATAGAAGGAACAGTAGAATGAGTGGTGGCATACCTACTTCAGGTTACACAAATGGCAACCTGTGCTTGAGATCATTCTTTTATTTAAAAAGAGATACATCAGGCCTAAGTCATGTACAGCCCCTTTGAACATGTTTTTAGATTTTCTCACCTCATACCTATGGGATAATTAATAGCATTGCTTTGCTTTTTAATTAAAGGCTGTATTGTACATGCCAGTCTACACTTGCTCTTTTTGAGATGTGTCCTTGTTCATCTTTATCAGTTTTCTTGTTGTCGTTGTTGTTGTTTGAGACAGAGTCACACTCTGTCATCCAGGCTGTAGTGCAGTGGCGGGATCTTGGCTCACTGCAGCTTCTGCTTCCTGGGTTCAAGTGATTCTTCTGCCTCAGCCTCCCGAGTAGCTGGGATTACAGGTGTTTACACCTGGCTAATTTTTGTATATTTAGTAGAGACAGGGTTTCAGCATGTTGGCCAGGCTGGTCTTGAATTGCTGATCTCACGTGATCCACCCGTCTCAGCCTCCCGATGTGCTGGGATTACAAGCATGAGCCATCATGCCCGGCCAGTTTTTATCTTTAAAGCTGATGCAGATGACGTTGATGTTAAGCCCTGGAGGCTGACAGAATAAAGGGCACCAGAGGGAAGTCAGGGCATTACTCCTGTTGAGTAGAAAGGCCACTCATCTTGCGCTTCTGGTCCAGAATTCCCAAGTAGGAAATTGGATTCTCCTGCTGGTGCTGGGGACTTTGCTTTCAGTGTCTGCTCTGCGACCTTTCACTCCATTTTCAGTGAGTTCGTGGTAATTAGAGTGAAGTAGGAAGTGACACAGGCTGCCTGATCTTGTGGCCGTTTTGGAAGGTCATTTTTATTTTGAACTTAAAAATCAAATGTTTTGGAAGAACCCTCCTTTGAGCCATTGTGTGATTTAAAAGACTGCAGCGTGCGTCTTCCCAAAGTGCATGCATTTAGGTTTTTTAATGTTGGGTTTGTTAATGGCGTTTCAGTATTTGGTAACAAATGAGGAATGTCAGTTCAGTTTACCAGTGACTTCAAAATAGAGAGCTGGTAGAGTTTCCTTCTAGGTTGTGCTTTTCCAAAATCCACAAATGGTCAGAAACTCATTTATCTTGTTTCATCATAGACTTACAAAACACATTTCGGTGCCTAAATGGGATTTGGGATTTTTGTTTGTTTTTTGTGTTGCTTTTGTGAGTGTGTAGAGACAGGGTCTTGATGTGTTGTCTGGGCTGATCTGAACTGCCTCAGCCTCCCCGTGTCAGGATTGTAGGCATGAGCCGCCGTAACCAGCCTTAATGAGGTGTAATGTTTCTATTCTGCCTTCTTAAACCTCGCTCAGTCAGTAAACATATTCTGTTCAAACTGAATAATTGAACCCAGGAACTGAATACATTTAGGTAAAACTTGCTACTTGAGACTTGGGCACTGGGTGGATTTGAATGATGCCGTACTCGTGATGTCTACCCTCTCACTATCCACATTCAGGGATGGAAAAGATTTGGAGAGTGAGGAATGCTTATAATAAAGTTCAGCCCAGCTCCCTGCTGTAGAATGTTCTTGTACGAGCAGTTGAGCAGTCAGTAAAGCAACCCTTTTCATTGTTGAACTGCTCTCGTTCTTAGAAAGTTCTTGTTTCTGTTGACTTGAAATTTACTTCTGTGGTTTAATTTTTCCCGCTGTTCTGAATTCTTTCACGTGCCACACAGGACGTGCCTGTTCAGTGAGTTCATAATCTTACTTCTCATGGGTCTTGCACTTAGTCTTCTTCAAGCTCATCATCCCTCAGGTTTTGCCTCCTCCTGTCACCAGGCCTTGTCTTCTGGGCACCGGCATCTGGCTCTTTCCATGGAGTCTGGCCGGCACCGCAGGCTCTGGACCAGCATCAGCTGCCCCTGGGCTCTTAGCTCTTGGGAGTTGCTCCTCCATCCTTTGCCTGCCTGGGCACCGACCTTGCACCTGGTCTCAGTCCAGGCTCAGCCCGGGCTCTGCTGGTCCTCCTCTCCCTATAGGATGGCCAGCCGCCGCGCCCTCCTACTGTGCTCCAGGCCCCACCCGGCCTCTCTGGACACTGGATCTGTAGTGTAATGGGAACAGGTCACATGACAGTTTCCTTTCTATACCTTTTTATCTTCTGTAGACTATTGAGATTTAGTAAACATGTCTGTTTGTACATGCTTAAAATGGTTGGAAAGTTTTGCCTTGTCTATGTTTGCAAGCAATGAAAACTAAAGGTGGTAGGAATTATATTGACTTATTTAATCTTGGAGTCAACATTTTCAAAGCTATATTTTTTTTGGTAACACCTGAAAATTATACAGTGTCTGCCTGTGTAATTTTTTTTTTTTTTTGCCCGTATAGTTTTTTTTTTTTTAAACTTACTTTGTAGTCTTTTTTGTTTTGTTTAACATAACGTTTCAGAGTAATATGCCGAGTAATGGATGAGCATTTGTTAGGTTGGGCTAGGAATGGGGACTGGGGTAAGGCCAACTATAGTTCTAAGAAGAGGTTCCAGTTTAACACCATTCCTTTAGGAATTGTATCTTATTTTAATTCAGAGCAAAAGCCACAAAGCCGCATATAGGCGTAAGTGATTCTTTTGAGGAAGTGGGTAACTGAGCTGTAAAAAGTTCTTCATCTCCATCTGAGACCACCTCATCCTGGACTTCATTGTCCATATCACTATCAACATTTTGGTCAAAAGCTTTCAACAAGGCTCTAGGAAGTTCCAAAGCTTCCCACATCTTCCTGTCTTCTTCTGAGACCTCCAAACTGTTCCAACCTGTGCCTGTCACCTAGTTCCAAAGTTGCTTCCACATTTTGGGGTATCATAGCTGTACCCCCACTCTCTTCAGTACTACTGTATTAGTCCATTTTCATACTAGTATAAAGAAACTTTCCTGGGACTGTATAATTTATAAAGGAAAGAGGTTTAGTTGACTAACAGTTCAGCATGGCTGAGGAGGCCTCAGGAAACTTACAATCCTGGCAAAAGCAAAGGAGAAGCAAGGCACTTTCTTCACAAGGTGGTACAAAGGAGAAGTGCCGAGCAAAGGGGAAGGAGCCCCTTATAAAACCATCAGATCTTGTGAGAACTCAGTCACTATCACAAGAACAGCATAGGAAAATGACCCCCATGATCCAGTTACCTCCACCTGGTGTCTCCTGACACACAGGGATTATGGGTACTATAAAGATTATAATTAAAGATGAGATTTGGGTGGGGACGTGAAGCCTAAGCATATCACCTGGTGTTCAGATGAAGAGGTTGTAGAAGCATATCTACTGAGTAAAGAGGGAAACTGGAGTCAGGAAGCTTTAGACTTGGTTTTCTCCCACATTTAAAACAAACCCAAGGAAAAGATGGTGCAACCGTGCAAGCACCTGGCGGATCTGTTGTGTCTCACACAGGTTTTCTGTTTTCCCTGTGTCTTCAATAGTATATGTCTTACTGACGCTGCCTCAGGGCTCCTGGCATCCCCCAGCCCAGTCTTCAGCCTGACACATCACAGGCGCTCAGCCCCTAAGTATTCCAAGAGGGAGTGCAGCTCCTAGGGGTCCATGTCCCATGTCCTCGTGTTTCCTGCTAGTGGTGTTTGGAAGCACTGTTGACATTTGGGCCCCAGTCTGTCCTTGTTACTGCGGGTCTTGTGCTGTCTCTGGAACAGCCCTTTATGGGCACCATCTACTCACTCATTCGCTTCGGTTGGCTGACATGGCCCCTGAGCTCTCTTCCTGTCCTTAGACCCCTCAAGGCCAGATGCAATGTTGAGTGTGGAGGCTTCCAGGCCCTGCTTTCCTTCCCAGCTTCAGGCTGGCCCAGCTCCTTGTCCTGCTGTCCTGCTTCACTTCCTCCGCGTGGCTTTCCGTTCCCAAACAGGTTTCTTCACTTTTGCAAGGTGGCGTGGGAATGAAGACTAGCACGTGCCAGCACACATCAGGACAGGTTTACGAAATTAGGTTTTAAGAGAACACAGAATCCCAAATTAGTCATCTTGTAATACGTGTTAAAGTGTGTCACCTAATTGCTGAACAATGAAAAACAATTCCTTTTATATTTAAAAAACTCACTAGTTAGCTGAGAACCTAGTGGTAGTTGCAACTTTTCTTTTCTTTTCTTTTCTTTCGAGATGGAGTCTCGCTCTGTCGCCCAGGCTGGAGTGCAGTGGCCGGATCTCAGCTCACTGCAAGCTCCGCCTCCCAGGTTTACGCCATTCTCCTGCCTCAGCCTCCCAAGTAGCTGGGACTACAGGCGCCGCCACCTCGCCCGGCTAATTTTTTGCATTTTTGATAGAGACGAGGTTTCACCGTGTTAGTGAGAATGGTCCCGATCCCCTGAACTCATGATCCGCCCGCCTCAGCCTCCCAAAGTGCTGGGATTACAGGCGTGAGCCACCGCGCCCGGCCGCAATGTACTTTGAACAGAAGAGTCCTTTTGCTTGACAAAGGTAAAGGAAACTGTTCGGTCCGAGAGCAGAACCACTAAGGCAAATTCACCGAGATATCTGGAAAGTTAGAATCCCAGCCCCAGTCCGTCAAATCGAGCATCATAAAATTAAGTTGTCCTTACTGTGAAATGGCCATTTGTAATGATTTCTGAGAAGTGGGACCCATGGTGGTGTCGATGTCTGAGCCAGGTGAGGGTGAGATCCCTGGCGCCATGGGCTGGCCGCCAGGATGCCCTGGGAAACGCCTTCTGTTCACAGCTGTGTGATTCTTTTCTTTCTGTGTTGGTGAAGCAGCCAGACCCGGTCCGTTTGGAATGCCTGGGATGGTGCCGCCGCATGTCCCTCCTCAGATGCTCAACATTCCGCAGACCTCTCTGCAAGCAAAGCCCGTGGTAAGGCCTTCCCTGCACTGGGTCGGGTGGCCGGTCTCAGACATGGTGTGTGCATTGAATTTCAATGAATGCCAAAATAAGTTCCTAAGCTCTTGAATTGATGTGTGAAATAGATGCCAGTGTTTGTTGAAATAAAAATGAGCCGGGAAACATCGTCCTGGGCCTGAGTCGGGTCCTGCTGGCCACGTGCGCGTGACCTGTACCCTTCGCTTCAGGCCCCACAGGTGCCCAGCCCAGGGGGCGCCCCGGGCCAGGGTCCATACCCGTACAGCCTCTCTGAGCCAGCACCTCTCACGTTGGACACGAGCGGGAAGAATCTGACGGAGCAGAACAGCTACAGCAACATTCCTCACGAAGGGAAGCACACGCCGCTGTATGAGCGGTCCTCGCCCATCAACCCGGCCCAGAGCGGCAGCCCCAACCACGTGGATTCCGCCTGCTTCCCTGGCTCTTCTACATCGTCATCTTCCGACAACGACGAGGGCAGCGGAGGGGCGACAAAGTGAGTGGTGCACAGGTTGTGGGGTGCTTCCTGGCGGGTAGTGACCTGGGGAAGCTGCCTTCTGGCCTGCCAGCCCAGCTGGTGTTGTGCTCAAAGATGTAGTTTGTTGCAGGTGGGTGATGGTCAGTCTGTACTCAGACGGGGGTTCTTTGGACAGAGAGGAGAGAGGAAGAGTAGGTATGTTCTTTGAAGTTTCCATGATTTAAGACCTGCACCATCCCAGCCCCATGGCTTGGAGCCGCAGGAACCTTTCTGGGGAGGAATTTGACAAGAACTGGTTTGTGTGATGCCCCAAACATGGGGGCATTTGTCCGGTGTGGTGCCACTCATACCCACAACAGCAACCCCCTGCCGACCCCCCAAACATTGATCTCCTGGCTCCTGGATCAAGGGAGCTCTGAATTTCCTCTCCTTCTCCTAAACTCAGCAGATCAGAGGACACTTTTGAAATAACACTGTTTGGCCAAGCAAAACCCTGGAAAGCTGCCTAGACCCGGGCTGACTGTTTCCTTAGAGGAGTATTTTAAACACTGTGTGGACTGGACGTGGTGGCACATGCCTGTAATCCCAGCACTTTTGGGGGCCAAGGTGGGTGGATCACCTGAGGTCAGGAGTTCGAGACCAGCCTGGCCAACATGGCGAAACCCCGTCTCTACTAAAAATACAAAAATTAGCTGGGTGTGGTAGCACGTGCCTATAATCCCAGCTACTCAGGAGGCTGAGTCAGGAGAATCACTTGAACCCAGGAGGTGGAGGTTGAAGTGAGCTGAGATGTCACCAGTGCACTCTGGCCTCGGTGACAGAGCGAGACTATCTCAAAAAAAAAAAAAAAAATGATAATAATAAAAACACTGTGTGTCCTTGAGTAAATGAGTTCGCAAATATATAGTTGGTTTCTGATTGAAGAGGCTGGGTGTGGTGCCTCACACCTGTAATCCCAGCACTTTGGGAGTCAGTGGCGGGTAGATCACTTGAGTTCAGGAGTTTAAGACCAGCTTGGCCAACATGGTGAAACCCTATCTCTACTAAAAACATAAAACTAGCCGGGCGTGGTGGAATTCGCCTGTAATCCCAGCTACTGTGGAGGCTGAGGCAGGAGAATCACTTGAACCTGGGAGTCAGAGGCTGCAGTGAGCCAAGATCACGCGACTTCACTCCAGCCTGGGTGAGAGAGCAAAACTCCATCTCTGAAAAAAAAAATTCTGATCAAGGAAATTTTAAATTTGTATTCCTCCCCTCCCTTTAAACTGTCTTATATTTAAAAAAAAAGAAAGAAAAAGAAAAAAAAAAGAAAGAGAAAGAAAATGTCTTTCCTTTAAGTCAGTGTCTCCTTTTCCTTAGTGTAAACTCTACAGAGTAGATAACCAGGGCTGGTTGATGTTACATCTATTTCTGATGTAAGAAATATAACAGATGTAGTTGTCAGTTTCCATGCCAGTTCTTACCTGGAGTGTCACCTGAAGCAGGTGATCTTTCCTCTCTGTCCTCTGTCCATCTGTAAAATGGGAACGAATGTCTGTTGACCCAGGGCAGAGGTTACTGAAGGGCTCTCTGCCATCCAGGGATGCACACCCTGTTTATGGCAAAGAAGTATAAAATTAATAAATGTTTATTTGTTGTATGTGCAGAGAAGTGTAAAATTAATAAATGTTTATTTGCTATGTGTGCAATGCTAAAACTCTAAAATGAAGTAAAGAGTTGCAATTGAATATTCAAAGTTTTAACCTCTAACAAGAACAACCGCAAGATGGTCTTAGAAGCTCTTATGCACTAGAATTCTAAGGCGTGTGCATTTTGTTGTAAAATGTGACTCAGGTAGCAAGATCAAAGTGTCTGTACATACAGTTTTCATCTTCGTGAGAAATGTTCTTTCTGAACTCTGAAACATAGGTAAGAAGTAAGACAAACAGCAGTAAGCTTTATGACCCCAACAAGAGTTCAGTGCTAGTGATGGAGATGTGGAAACCAGGTCAGGGTGCTGACTTGGGGATGTAGGGGGTGACTGGAGCACATCTCAGTTGAGGTGCTTGTTCCTCCAGCGGGGAAGGAATGAGAATGTGAGTTGCCCATCTAATTTGGCAAGTTGTCTATATCAGTCTGTTCTCATGCTGCTAATAAAGAGATACCCAAGACTGGGTAACTTACAAAGGAAAGAGGTTTAATTGACTCAGAGTTCCACATGGCTGGAGAGGCCTCATGATCATGGTGGATGGCAAAGGAGGAGCAAAGTCACATCTTGCATGGCAGCAGGCAAGAGAGCATGTGCAGGGGAACTCCCCTTTATAAACCATCAGATCTTGGAAGATTTATTCATTATCATGAGAATAGCACAGGAAAGACATTCAGTGACCTTCCACCAGATACCTACATGACCTGTGGGAATTATGGGAGCTACAATTCAAGATGAGATTTGGGTGGGGACACAGCCAAACCATATCGTCGTCTTTGTTAGGATGAGCTGAACTTGGAGTGAGTAGGACTGCCTGAGCATGTCCTGTCTTTTCTGGGTATGCACTTCCTACCTGTCTGTGAAGGTTCTGATCAGCTTTTTGGAGTTCTGGGCATCTGGCCTCCCTCTGACCTCTTGCAGTGCTTATTGTCTTTATCCCCAGTATGGCATCTTTAGTGTTTTCTGGAGATGCATCTTGTTTCTGCCACTGGAATTTGACCTGCTCAGAGGCTTGTGTTTTCCGATCCTTGTGGTGTGAAGTGCCGTGAAGAATGCAGAGTACACCCTGTAATCAAAAGATTGGATTCAAGCTGTGTGACTTAGCAGTGACTTAATTTCCTTGAATCTGTTTCTACTTCTATTATAATAAGGAAGAGACAGACATGTTGAGTTGAGATGAACGAAGGCAGAGGAGACAAGGGTGCTTGTTCCTGAAGGCTTCGGGGTCGAAACTAGCATTCAACTTGGGGTCAAACCCTTGATCACGGGCATCCTTTGCTTCTGGCAGCTGCACGGGTGTGACTTGGATTTATGTGTCCACAGCTGCCAAATAGGGACAATGTTCATGGTTTCCTGCAAGAGTTCTAGCGTGTTGAATGCGTTGTATGTAGTGGAGCAGAAGCACATGAGTAGAAACCTCTGCAGGAACCAGTGTGGGTGCAAGGAAACCTAAACTGTCATTGATAGATTGTTGGAGGGTCAACGTGGACAAACCTGAGAGTTAAAGACTCCAGAGGGCCTGGTGATGTGGGGGTCCACATGCATTTGTGATTTTACCTGCTAGATCTCTACCAAATTCTCATGGTAAATATTGGAGAAAAATCCCTTGTACCTGTGGCAAGGGAAAGGAAAAGAGAATTATTTTAAAATGTGACAGAACACTCTTTTTTTTCTTTTCTTTTCTTTTTTTTTTTTTGAGACGGAGTCTTGCTGTGTCACCCAGGCTGGAGTGCAGTGGCGTGATCTTGGCTCACTGAAACCTCTGCCTCCCAGGTTCAAGCGATTCTCCTGCCTCAGCCTTCCGAGTAGCTGGGATTACAGGTGTCCACCACCATGCCCAGCCAGAACACTCTGTTCTTAACAAGGCTTTCTCTCGGGAGAAACTACCTAACCAGAGCCTAACCTGCTGGGTTTCACGAGAACCTAATTAATATGAGGGAAGGGAAACACCCAAATCTAGCTCCCCATAGCCATCCTGTCCCAGTTAAGCAGGGTCAGGGACTGAGAATCACATGTGAAGATCACAGCCCAGAGACTCATTATAAGACTCACCTAATGATTGGACTTTAGACCCTGTGCCCCCCTGAAAAGAGAAAAAGCAAAATCATATAAAGTGCTCAACTGAAACAAGAGAAAGAAGAAAAAATGGAAGACATGGAGAAAGAATGGAAAATAGTAACAAATATAGTAAGTAGCTCTTAATCCACATATATCAATAATTAAACATCAGTGGTGTAGATATGCAAATTAAAAGAAAGAGGCTGTCTGATGGAATCAAGACCTAGCTATTTGTACCTACAAGAAATCCATCTTACGTATGAAGACATATTCTTTTTCTGTTAACAAACGGCTACAGCTACTGTGATGTGTGAATTACTGAGGTTTATTGTGGAATGAACACAGGAACTCTATTTGAACCACTGCGTGAATGGAGACGTGGTGAATGGTTCAGGGTAGATGGTGTAAGTCACAGAATGTTCCAGTAGATGTGGAAACGTGCCATTGGCCACTGAGTGTTGTTCATTTACTTTCTCTGTTGTGCAATTGTGAAGTTCCTATTGTTGGTCAACTTTTAAATAGAATATTTCTAAGTAAATAGTGAGACAAGTTACTCTAATTATTATCATAGTCTTTTCCAAGTGTCAAGGCTTTTTAAAAATATAGTTGAAGTCATGCTAATTTTTTAAGGAAATGTTTGTGTAGGCCTCCCAAATGGACAGTGTGTTAGAATAGAAATTTTTAAATTAAGTATTTAGAACAGATTTTTTTAGTCAACAGATTTTCTTTCAGGGATAATATTTTTTTTCTGTGCTTCTTTCCCTCAATGCCTTCTTTGTCCTTATTTCTTGATGGTTGTTGTGTTTTCCCTCTTCATTTGTTTTTGCTCTCATAAAGCTTCACAACCATTTCTGCAGTGCTTCTTTTTGTTGCTGTGTGATTAGCATGCAGTGGTATTTTTATTTGAACATTTTCATACCTGAGGTTAAGATTTCCTCAGTTTCTAGTACATTATCCTTTGCATTTATTATTGTGATTATTCTCTTTGAAGTGACAGCAGAGCTTTCAACACCTGTTTTCTTACACTGGGTGTCTGGAATCTGGGAGGACTCCAGGAGTAGGTGAGAAGGCCTTTTCAGTTTGTCTGGTCATGTCAGTAAATACTGTCTTATGTTAATAAATCACATAATTACTAAATTCCTTAAGATCACATCGTCTGAAGGAAGGGTGTCGTGTCTAAATAGCTGTGCCTCCAAGAACAGCTGATACACAGGTTGGCAGCATCAGAAAAAGTGGCTTTTGCTGAAAGTTATGTTTCCTACAACATACATTTTTTATGGTCTTTGGAATTATTAATAAAATGTGATGCTGATTAGCTGTCTCTTAGCCATCTTGGAAGACTAGAGTTTGCCACGGTATCACTTAGTGATTGTGGACATTTATTAAAAAGAAGCTGAGCCAATAGGAAAAGAATGCAAATGTGCCCTTGTAAATGGGTTAGTAAACATGTCTTTTATTGCATATGATAATGGGAGTGAATGGTATTTTTCTACACCCATGGGTGTTAGTTATACATATAATCTGTGTTTCATGAATATTTATATGTTAGATGTAACTCTTTTAAAGTAGTTTGTGACATTACCTAGCATAGAAAGTAGTTAAATAGTATAATTCCAACTCCAAAATTTGATTTTTAAAGTGCAACACGAGGCATCTTATATTTTCTGTGAAATATGCTTTTTACAATTCACTGACCTTTAAGAAAAAGTAGTTAGCAAACAGCTAACTGATGGTATCAGAATAACAAAAGCTTTTTTAATTCCAAAATTCTAATAGCAAAATTTATTCAAGTAATAACATAAAATATGAAATCATGATTAGTGGTTAGATCATGTCTGGGAATATGGTATTTCTGGATTTTCAGTTATTCTTTACATTGTACCTGATTCTTTCTTTTCCTTGGTGAACTAATTTCAGAATTGGAGTAAACTGAATACTGCTATTTATATTAGCAGCCGTAAAGTTTTATTGTAGAATGTATCTTACACATTATATTAGCAAAATAGATGATTAAGAGGACTGACATTTCACTATCCTGTACTCAAATTAAACAGTGAAGGTAAAATAGAGGCAATTTGGGGAATTTTTTTTTTTTTTCCAGACTGAGTCTCGCTCTGTCACCCAGGCTGGAGTACAGTGGTGCAATCTCGGCTCACTGCAACCTCTGTTTCCCGGGTTCAAGCAGTTCTCCTTCCTCAGCCTCCCGAGTAGCTGGGATTACAGGCGTCCGCCACCACACCCAGCTACTTTTTCCTGTATTTTTGGTAGGGACGAGGTTTCACCATGTTGGTCAGGCTAGTTTCGCACTCCTGACCTCAAGTGATCTACCCACCTCAGCCTCCCAAAGTGCTGGGAATACTGGTGCGAGCCCCTGCACCCAGCCCCGGGAATATTTAATTGTAGCTTGTAGTTGACCATCATAAAGTTTGTAAAATGATAGAGTTTGTCATCGGCGTCTAGCAGCTGATCTAACATGGGCAGGTGAAGAAAAAGTCACCTGAGCTTCAGCATCTGTGTTGTTTCCTTGTTTGGTTGGTGATGCTTACTCCCATCAATCCATTGATTTAAAAGAATAGGTTTTGTCTTTTGGACAATTTAAGTATGCCAAAATCTTTGATTAGCCATTTTAGAACCTTTCTGCAAGTAAGACATTTCTAGGCTAGGTGTGGTGGCTCACATCTGTCCCAGCATTTTTGAAGGCCAAGGTAGGCAGTTTGCTTGAGGCCAGGAGTTTGAGACCAGCGTGGGTGACATAGCGAGGCCTTGTGTCTACAAAAAGTAAAGTAGGCCAGGCATGGTGGCTCACGCCTGTAATCCCAGCACTTTGGGAGGCCAAGGTGGATGGATCACCTGATGTCAGGAGTTCAAGACCAGCCTGGCCAACATGGTGAAACCCCGTCTCTACTAAAAATACAAAAATTAGCAGAGCGTGGTGGCAGGCACCTGTAATCTCAGCTACTTAGGAGGCTGAGGCAGGAAGAATTGCTTGAATCTGGGAGGAGGAGGTTGCAGTGAGCTGAGATCGTGCCACTGCACTCCAGCCTGGGTGACAGAGCAAGACTCTGTCTCGAAAAGTAAAAAAAAAGAGTAAAGTGAGCCCAGCGTGGTGTGAGTCTGTAGTCAGCTACTCAGGAGGCTGAGGCGGGAGGATGGCTTGAGCCAGGGAGGTCGCAGTTTCAGCAAGCTGCCATCTCACCACTGCACTCCAGCCTGGGCAACAGAGGGAAACCCCATCTCTATTAAAAAAACAAAAAACCAAACAAAAACAAAAAAAACTCTAATGTAATTTAATATCCTTGTGTAGATTTGACTTCAGAAGACTGAACATTCCATCATACTCCTTTCCTTAAAGACCATCTAGAACACTAATGAGTGATTTGACCAGATAGTTGAATCAGTGTTATGATAAAAAGAACCCTTTACTAAATTCTTGATAATGTTCTGAAGTTTTCCAAAAGTGCAGTCTATATAGATCTTTATTTTTCAGACTATTTAAATATTTTTGAGATTTAGTTTTTAGTAACATCTAGCATCCTAGGAAAACATAAATACTGTATGACAGCTTACACACTTTTTTCTTTTTAATTTTCATTCAAATTTCAGGGTGCTTTGTTTCTCCCTTTCAATTTTAATTTTAATAGCAGCCATAAACACTTTGCTTCAGAATTATGGTAAATCATGACACAAAAGAGGTCTCAAGCACAGTTTTCCTTTTCATTTTACTGTAGCTAGCTCGTGACCACATCTACATCTTGTTAGTGCTTGGCATAGCACATACCTTTCATAATAATACTCTTTGTAATAATTTATTTAACTACAAGGAACTCACAGCCTACTCAACCGTAGTATTTTCAGTTGTTGGTTCGTATATTAGATGTACACTTGACGTGGTTTGTAACACTTAAAACACACATTATTAATTTAAAGCTTTTGATGTGCCACATAGTTTAATATTAACTTGCTGAATGTAAAATGGACTCAAAGTTTCCTTTTGGAGTATGTTGAAATATTATCAAGGGTATAGTTATTGGTTATACATAGTCACGTGGTTATAGTTATTTGTTTCTTGAAAATGAACAATCTTAAAGTTTAGAAACATAATAGTACTTGGAACATTGTTCTGCATTCTTGTGAACAAAAGAAGACCCAGTGATACTTAGAGGAGAGAGACAAACTTTGGAAGCTGTCTGCTGAGTATTAAGAGATTTGTCTTCCTCTTAGAGGTGGGACCAATGACTGGGAGTGACATAGGGAGGATAAGACCTGTCTCTAGAATTGCTGTGAATATTGTCCACGTAGAATGCCCTTCACTTCAGAATAGGTTGTAAATGGAAAGTATATCAATGTGCTAGAAAGGCTTTAACCAAAGGCCTGAGCTTGTCAAGCCTGAGGCCGGCACATGGCCTGAGTGTGGTGAATGTGCAGCGGCCTCTGCCTGCGCCCGGCTCCCCGGCTCTGGGTCATGAAGGGCCCCTGGGCATTTCCCCGGCATAGTGCCTTTGTCTGTCCTGTTGTTAGGAGCTTCTGCTTCTCACTCTTAACATCCTCCAGTTAGAATCGTCAAATACAAGGTCACAAAAGGATGACTTAGCCGAGTTCAGTCTCTTCCTGAACTGTGCTGTGTGGAATAAACAGAATGTCAAGCCTGCCTGGGCAAAGTTCAGGTCCCTCCAATTTACTAAGGAACCAAAAGAGACTGCAGTTGCCATTCTCTCTCCGAAAGCCCATTCTAGTGCCAAGCTCACGGGATGCTGGGCACACATGGATTCCAGACACGCGACCCATGTGTTCCACTCAGAGTCAAGGGCATGGCCATGGTGAAGTCAGATACTGAGTCTCCAGATATGCTGTGAGGACAGGAAGTTGTTCTCCCAGGAAAGAGCTACTAGGAAGCGGGTGCAGCAGCGAGCATTCACCTTCCGCCGCCCTCCGCCGCCCCTTCCCTCCCCACCTCCGTGTCTTATTCAGATGCTGCTGGGTGTGGCCTGGACATCTGTGTTCTTTGCAGGCTCCGCTCAGGATTCGGAAGCAGAGCAAAGCTGGGGACCCTCTCCAAGGGCATCGCTTGAGACTTGGGAAGGGGGAACTCATTCCCCAGGTCCAGCCCGCAGGCCCCTGGCCTCTCCCGGCTCTTGACCCTGTGGTCTGCGGTGTGACCAGCCTGTCCTTCCACCCCCAGGCTCTGTCTTCGCCATCTGTTGTCTGTGGCTGAGCTGCGGGGTACAGCTCACATGGACTCCTGTCCTGCCAGCTTCCTTGGGGTCTAGCCCCTGGGGAACCCCAGAAGGAGACCAGGGGCAGGGGCAGGCTGGGGCCAGGCGCTGAGCCTCCCGGCTCCTTCCTGCGAGGCCGCCTCAGCTGGCTCTGTCGTAGGCTGCAGGCTGTGCTCCTCTTCCGGGGTGACTCTCACAGCTCTGTTCCTTGGGGCTCCTCCAACGTGACCCTCCTGTGGTGGCCCCAGGCTTGGAGCCAGTCATGGCTAGAAGGCGGCGGCCCCACGTTCCTGCATGCATGTGTTTCTTGCTGCTCTGAGGTCTCACCCCAACCTGGCAGCCTCAAGCAGCACAAACTTATTATCCTCCTGTCCTGGAAGATAAAACTGAGAATCAGTCTTGCTGGGCGAAAGTCAAGGTCTGGGCAGGGCAGGCTCCTGCTGGGGGCTCCTCCTGCCTTCTCGGGCTTCCCAGGCTGCCCAAGGCCCTGGGCTGCTGCCCTGTCCTCCCCTCCCAGTCTCCACTCAGCATCTGCTCTCCTAGTCCTGCTGCCCGTGTCACACTTCCTCCCCTGACCCCTCCCTCCTGCATGGAGGGACCCTGGGATAATGCTGCACCTGCCTGGCTTATCGTGGCCTCTCCCCACCAGAATATCCTGTCCCAAGTCCCATCGGTGAGGGTGCTGGTGCCATGTGGAGGTGACATGCACAGGACCAGGCATTCAGATGTGGGCCCTTTAGGGGACATTATTCTGTCTACCAACACTGCCTTCCAGACACCCACACTTTTGGAAACAGTTCCTTATGTATGAACCTTCCTCAAAGTCACCCAATTCCAGCATTGTCTGTTTCCCTGACAGGGTGTGCTGTCCTTGGCTCTTATTTCAAAGCAGGTCGAAAAGGGAAACCCATGCCTGTCAACATTCCCTAAGCCCGCTGTGCTGCCTGAACAGGTAAGCCTGTGGGGCCCGGGGCTGTCCACTGTGGCTTCTGACTCTTGTTACCCTCCATGCAGCCGCAGGCTCCTGCAGCTCCACCTGAGCTTCCCCAGGGGCTGCGTCCTCACCTTCATTCCTCACCCTGCCCAGGATCCGGCTGCTCTCGCGTCCCCTGCCCACCCCTCCTCCATCCACACACCCTCTTCCCTCTCCCCAGCCTCCACTCACTCATTCAACAGAGTCGGGCTGAGTGCCTCCCTCGTAGGAGCAGGAGGAAACAGGAAGTGAAACAGACAGGACTTCTGTGCCTAGGTGGCCGGCAGCCAAGGGGAGGCTGGAGGGGGACGGAGGGGGACACACATGGGATCTCCTGTGGCCTCTGCCGTGCATCATCACACTCTGAGAAGTGAGGCAGGAGGTTCATAGGGAAGACCATGTTCAGAAGGGAGCACAGGGGCAGCAGGCTGACCCAGCCTTGAGCTGGGGAGGCTGCCTGGGGAAGTGAAGTTGGAGCACGCCCCGGGGGCCTAGTAGGCATTTGTGAGGCCCTAGGAGGATGAAGCTGGGCCCCTTGGGGCTCAAGGGACCCCGCCTAGTGGTAGGGCTCAGAATGAGGGGAGCAACAGGTAGGAAAGACCTGGAGAGGGTAGAGCCGGGCAAGGAGGCTGGACCAGAGCATCCATTGTTTGACTCTGAAGAGATCATGCAGGCGCAGTGGGGAGACTGGATGGAAGAGGGTTCGGGGACATTTCAGCTAAAACATCTACTCGGCTGTTCGCAGCCCACATTTGGGAAATGAGAGGACAAGGATGAGTCTGATTCCCAGACTGAGAATGAACCAGGTGACTGGTCATGCCAGCCTGGGAAACTGGGACATCTGGGAAGACCCTACGAAGCTTGGGAGCGACATCGTCTTACAACGTGGAGCATCTTCAAGATGACTTTGAGGATCTGCATGGAGAGGGGAGAGGCAGTTGGATTTACGGGTCTGGAAGCTCACAGAACCTTGAGCTGGAGATCAAATTTGGAGGGCTTGGGCTCAAAAGGATCAACTCTTAGGAACTGCTGTTGTTCCAAAGCCCTCCTGCCCCAGCCCACACAGCCTCAGTGGGAGGCAGAACCAGCTGGCTGTGGCTGTGATCCCTGAAGCCCAGGACCCTGGTCCCTGCTGTCCACTCAGTGAGAAATGAACGATTCTTCACAGAGTTGCATGGGACAGCATTGCCTCCCCCTCCAGCCTGGCCTCAGGCAGCCTTCAACCCCAGTATCCTCTAAGGGTGAGGGACTCTTCTCCGCACCTCCGCAGGACTGCATGAGCCACCATCAGCACAGTGATGCCTGTGGCATGCGGGCCTTCTGACCCCTCTCAAGGGCAAGTCTAATAAAGTCAAGTTCAGGGACCACAACCACCATGTGTACAGAGTGGTCACCACTGCTGAACTCCCTTAACCACCTGGAAGGCAGGCGTCCCGGCCCAGGCTTAACTGCATTCTCCAATGAATGAAGACAGGATTCTGGGTGGTTTATTTTTTGTTTTTGTTTTTTTTCAGTTTGTTTTAGAGACAGGGTCTCACTCTGTCACCCAGGCTGGAGTGCAGTGATGTGATCACGGCTCATTGCAGCCTTGACCTCTTGGCCTCAAGCGATCCTCCTGCCTCAGCCTCCCAAAGTGCTAGGATTACAGACATGGGTCACCATGCCTAGCCTTACCAGCCCTTTAGTAATAAGCACTTTTCAGAGAACTGAAGCTGTTCAGCCTGGAGATGAGGCACAGATATCACCCTGGACACTGGAAGTCTGGTTGGATGCTGGGGTCAGCTAAGAACAAAATGACACTGGAGAACAGAGGCTGTGGCTTGGCTGCCTTGCCCCTGCAGGAGGAGCCTGGACTGGCCCCAGGTGGTGCTGCCTTTGCTGTCCTAGGAGGGGCCTGGCAGGGTCCTTTCTATCCCGGAAATGCTGTGATCAGAGCCAGTAAGCTCCCACTGGAAGCTTCACCTGCCCAAAGTAGAGTCTGCCTTCATCAGCACAATTCACTCAGTGACTGTTCTGGAAGGTGCAGGGCTATCAAAAAACAATTTTAAGTCCCTGCTTTCAGGAAGTCAAGCATAACAAATAACATGCATCCATGAGAACTCTACACGAGGGGCTGAGGTCTCTGGGGCTCTGGTGAGCCATCCACCCAGACTGTGCGCTAGAACCCAGAGTGGGGAGAGCAGGCTGCAGGCTGCAGCACGGAGACTGGATGGAAGGGGGTTTGGGGACTGGGAGGGTCAAGAATGAATCCGGGCCCGGCTCGCACGCTATGCGGCAGCAGTGAAGCCCGAAGCAGGGACACGTCTAGTGGGTGAGGCTGAACACCAAGAGCCTTGGATTCTGAGGCTGAGCCTTGGGGCCCCTGGAGGGCTGCTAGGCGGTTCTGAGCAGCAGATGAAGCTGGGATTCGGGGCCCCAGAGTCCTGGAAGTGCACTGTGCAGAATCTCCCCAGAGGGTGCTGGCTTGACCATTACCATTTCATTGACCATTTTACTACTATTTACTACCACACTACCACCAAGTTTTACCATTGACATTTACACTATTATTCACTTACAGAGAATGATTAAAATAAATGTGCAGTTTGAAAGGCAAACTGCAGCCGGGCACAGTGGCTCATGCCTGTAATCCTAGCACTTTGGGAGGCTGAGGCGGGCGGATCACGAGGTCAGGAGTTTGAGACCAGCCTGGCCAACATGCTGAAACTCCATCTCTACCAAAAATACAAAAATTAGCCGGATCTGATGACGCACACCTGTAATCCCAGCTACTCAGGCGACTGAGGCAGAAGAATCCCTTGAACCTGGGAGGCGGAGGTTGCAGTGAGCTGAGTTTGCATCACTGCACTCCAGCCTGGGCAACAGAGCAAGACTCTGTCTCATTAAAAAAAAAAAAGAAAGAAAGAAAGGGCAAACCACATTACTATGGTCCACAGAAAACCAGTTACATGAGCCACCAACAGAAGAGAACACAAACTAAGACCAAGGGAAGCCATGTTCCTAACACTGTGCTGCTCCCAGCTGAGGCTTGGAGGAAGCCTACCCTGCTGATCACATGGAGGAGAACCAGGGCTCTGAGGCCACCCGCACACACCGGGGTGGCATCCCTGACACTCCTGTGGGGAAGCAGCGTTGCCGTGCCCTGAAGACTCATGTCTGAGATGGGCAGGCAGCACCGCTCTTATCAGTCGGCTGGACAGTTTTACATCTCAGGGAAGGGCACTGTGTCATGGATGTAAATGAAACGGCACAGCAATATCTGTGGTTTCTAGTGGTGATGAAGTCCGGGTGCTGTTAATGGAGGAAATGCTAAGTTGCAGTTAGACATTAATGACAATAAAGATGCAATGCTTTCTCATTGTGATGCATAGGGCCCCAAATTCTCCCTAGACCTCTGGACCCAGCGTAAGGCCCCTGTGCCTGCTGGCCAGGCTAGGGTTTGGGGACCTTACCACGGCACGTTTTCTTGGTGAGGCCATGCCAACATTCCTCGTTTCTCACACTTAGGACCCCTCCCACGAGTGGGGGGAATGCAGCCCTCCAAGGAACCGGTGGTCTCGGACCTGCCACCCACAGCCAGAGGTTTCTGACCCCAGGCCACTGGTGTTTTCCCTGCCAGTGCAGGTGAATTCTGGAAGGAAGGTGCCTGGGAGGTGGGTGTGGGGGTGGTGGGTGGCTTCAAGCCTCCAAAGACCAGAGGGAAGGCCCTGCCTCATGGAGCTCTGTGAGCAAAGGCCAGGAGGCACCCAGGACCCCGAGTCCATGCCAGCTGGCATCGGGGGAACGTGGAGATCAGCCTCCCGGGGGCCCTGCAGAGAACAGGGCTGCCCTGAGAGTGCCAGGGTCCTGGGAATGTCCCCCCACCACCGTCACATCCCAGTCACCTGGCTGGCAGAGGGCCACCAGAGAGGGAAGAGTTTGAAAAACCAAAGTCCTTTCTGCCCCAAAATATTTTTTATTCTTGCATTACATTTGTGTTTCCAATTGTGAATAAAAAATGCTTAGAAAGTGGTTACAAAACAGCGTGAACTGGACAGGAGGAGCAGCTGGCCCTGAGGGTCCGTCACTTCTCCACTTAGACGGCGTGAAGTGGGCCTGGCGTCTAGGCGGGGTCAGTCAGGCTTCTCACTCTCAGGATCTGGAAAACAAAACCACGCAGCTTACTGTGGGCCCGCTGTGGTGCTGGCCACTCGCCGAGGGCTGGGCCCTGACGCCCTCCCAGGAGCTGCCGACAGGAAGGCCGTGCCAGCTCTGCCGTGACCCATGCCCTGTGTAGATGGTCTTGTCCTCAGCATAGCCCTGGCATCCTCTGTCACCTGGGCCACCCTTCTCTGTGTGACCGGTCAGCACACTGAACGGCTGCCCAGAAACCCAGACGCTCAGCTCCTGGACTGTCCGGAGCATCTGGGAGCGAGCTGCCCCCAGCACCCAAAACAGGAGGCTCTGGGACGAGCGCTCCTCCTCCCTCCGTGCAGAAGCTCGAAGGCTGGCGCTGCAGCTCTCTGAGGAGGTGGCCCCACGGCCAAGGCAGCCCCCACAGTAGACCGGGCCGGAGACACTGGGACCCTCAGCTTGCTCACGGTGAGGCCTGCGATGCAGCATGTGCAGGAGGGACTGCAGTCAGCTGGAGGCTGTCTTTAGTGGGAGGCCGGGGGGCTGGCTGCCACCATGCACTGAGCCCCCAGGATGAGTCCCCACCCTGGATGGCCACTTTCCCTAAGGCCCCTGTGCCTACCAGGAAAGCCACTGCCCCTTGCATGATCCCCGGGCAACCCCAGCCCCAAATCCTCCTCTCAACAAGCCCAAGCTCGTCCAAGGACCTCCCACCTCCCCTGAGCTCGGCCCACCTGGAGCAAAGAGGGTGGCCCCAGGGGCTGCAGCAAGTAATGCAAACCAAGCCTCCTGGAGACAGGGGCTGCAGGTGTGTCTCGCTGACCAGGAGGCTGGCTCCCTCCATCATGGGCACAGCCTGTGGCACTGCTAAGCATAACCAGGTGCACAGTGGTAGGAAGCCCAGCCAGCTAACCCGACCGGCAGAGCTGACTGTGCTCAGGGCCCAGGGCCCAGGCCATAGCTGGCAGGGGCAGTGTTGGGGGCCAGACAGCCCTGCCAGATGCCCTGCTCTCAGACCCCTGCCAGGGCCAGCCCTGCCCAGCATCCAGTGGCACCCGCAGCCCCTCAGTGCCCTCCTCTAGAGGTGTGGATGCAGCTGAGCCCAGTACTGGCTCCCAGCTCCTGTGCTCCCTAGGAGGCTGGTTGGTTTGGATTTTATATGGACAGAGGGTAAGAAAAAGATGTTGTTTCACACTGTTTTCGAGCAAAAGTGTTTATTTTTCTCCTTCAGATATACAATCTCTTGGGGATTCCGTGCCACTGACCACCATGTACGAGGAAGGGATTCACAGGCAAGGGGGACAGGTGAGGGCAGCCCCCACTTCACTCAAGGAACGGGGCAAGGGGGCCCAGTACAGAGAACAGAAATCTCTTACGACAGCATCGTGCCCTGGCAGAAGATTCTGCATAACACCTAGAAAATTCAATTCTAACTGAATTGATGGAATAATAGATTTGAACCAAAATAATTTACCCAGTTCTAATAAGTACAGAAACTATACAATTCACAGCTGGGCAGTCCCAAGCAGTCTGCTTTCCAGCAGGAGGTGGAGGCAGCTCGGGCCTTCCCCTCCCACCAAGGGCTGTGTTGTGCCCGCTGGGGACGAGTCCCACTGAAATCTCCAGGAGAAGAATGACCCCGCCCTCCGCAGAGCAGACTTAGTGGTGGACAGGAGAGCGGTCTGCGTGCCAGGGGTGAGCAGAGCCACAGGCCTCCATGGAAATCATGGAGGAGGGAGGGAAGTGGGCAGGAGAGAGGGCAGCCTCGCCAGCTGAAGGAGCTGTGCTTGTCTCCACAGGGTGGGCGGGCAGCCAGAGTTTCTACGCCCAGCACACACCTTATCCTCACAGCAGCCCACTGGCGCCAAGGCATGTTTGCTCACCTAACGTTTTCTGGTGGATTTCTCACGGCCCAGTGCAGCAGCTGACATTCCCTACTGAGCAAGCAGCTCCGCCAGTGTGCCCTGCCCCAGCGTCCTGCCGTCTCTCAGCCCCTGGATGAGCCCAGGGAACCGGCACTCTACTGCGGACAAAGCAGGGCTCGCCTAGCACTGGAAGCTCTTCAGTACTTAAGGTAGCTAATTCAATGTTTTAAAAAGGCATTTACAACAGAAAACCAAAGATTGAACTTCAGCTTCAGATTTGTAAACCATTCACATCTCTGCAACTTAAAACAGTAAATAAAGATTATCAATGCACAAGCCAATTGCAAATGAAACCTTTTCCGATAATTTTTTTAAACATATCTTTTCATCAGGGAACGGAAAAGCTGGCATTCAAGGCACTGTACTTCTGCAGGGTGACGACAAGGTTCTAACCACCAACTCAAGTATAGGAAGTGGGTGTGGAGACGGCGCGTGGACCACAGGAACCTAGGAGCGAACAGGGTCTGAAGCCGCAAAGGAAGCAGTCTTGCTGCCCACCCGCTGTCCCCCTCGCGGCTGAGTG